ACCTTTTTTTCCCTAAAGCGATCTAAAAAAAAATTATTTCCATTTTTAAAAATATCCCTAGACTTTTCCGATATGTGTATATAATTGTAAAATAGTTCTGTGGTTTCTAAAAGTAACGATTAGAGATTACTTTGGTGGACTGTGCAAATTGAGATGGCAAGTGTAAGAGTATTTGAGCAAGTAGTTTGTTAAAAACTATAGAGGATAACTTGAAGAGCTAGAAGGGAATTTTTCAATATCAGACGTTCAACTATATGTGGCTCAATGAAAGGTATAGTACAAAGAAGAGGTTCAAGATTGCTCCGGTAGAGTGCGTTCCATATTTTCAAATTTTATTTCTTTCACATTTATACAAACAACTCTTGTTTGACTGATAACTGTGAGAGTACGGAGAAATTCATTATGTCTGGTTAGAGTGCTATCCCAGACATGCTAGAAACTAGCATTGAGCATTTTTACAAAAATAATTAGATAACAAATACACACATATAACTGTCAGCTAGATGTAAGGAAAAGAAGAAGAAAAAAATAAGCTAAGCAATTACAAACTTTTCAGTCTTTTTGAACGATTTCAAAGAAGAATTAAAAAGTTCTAAATCCACATTGTAAGTGTTTGCAAGTCTCAAAATTCTACCTATAGACTCATTCTGGCCATAGTTGGTATAATAAAAGGGTACTTTGAAGATTTCTGTATTTCTTGTTCTCTTTAGGTTCACATTCAAAGTTCTGGGGAATCAATTAATTATTTTGTGAATTGGTGTAAGATCTGATTCTAATCTATGAGCCAATATAATTTTATATTTATATTCACCAATATGATATCCCAGTTTGTATGCAGAGTGTCTTAAAACTTGTTTTGAACACTTTCAAGCATATTAATATCTACATTATACGAAGAGCACCAAATTGTGGAAGTTGTATTTGATTATGTTCTAACAATTGAACAATATATGATTTTTAAGGAAGAGAGAAATAATTCCTCTACAGATCTAAGAGTGAAACCCAAAATTTTTTTTAGTGCTCTAGAAGTAACGTTAGCAATAAGGGGTTTGAATTACATTTTTGGGTCAAGAGTGATCTCTAATCTTGGATTGTATTTGTTGTTTTGATTGCTTGCTTTTAGATGGACTATTTATGGATTTTTGTTTCAGAAAAAAGGAAATTTATGTCGCTCGTCTATATTCAATTGCAATTCATATCACACCAGCGTATAAAGTTAGATATATCGTACTGAAATAATTCAATATCAGATGATTCGTGAATAACTTTGAACATCTTCAAATCATCAGCAAACACAACAAAGTCACCATAGAGAATAACCTAATTCAAGTTATTTACAAATAGGTTGAAAAGTAATGGTCTTAAATGAGATCCCTGCGGTATACTAGTTGGAACTGCGATTATGAAAGATATGGAGTTACTATATTTTACATATTGTACTCTGCAGGCAAAATAATTTTGAATGTGTTCAAAAATAGGTATTCACACTTGGTATTACGCTGAAACTACCTGACATATAGCCCTTTTGACAACACACATGTTTTTGGTGCATTTGGGTATCTGTTTGAAATTCTATCTATTTTATCATTTTTGGAAAGTTGTATTTTAAAAGTATTTTGCATACCTACTCAAGAAAGTATAAAAGGTGTTCAACATAAAAGTATCTACATGTTGCCAATTGCTGTGAACTATCATTATTTTCCAAATTTAACTAATATTATTCATAATATGATCAGTTATTTATTAATTTGTTTTGTGCTTTGGTGCTTTGGGAACTTTTATTTCAAAACGACGAGAGAACATGTGTTTCTATTGTCAAGTACACTAATTTTTACTCGATTTTGAAAATCGAAATTTTTGAGAATCAATTTCAAGAAAAGTACAATATCAATTTTAACCTCACTTCTGACTTAAATCAAGATGGATGCTCATCTCAATTCCGTGGTAACATGGAATCGGACATTAGTTGAATATCTCTATCTCCAGGAGTTTGAAACTCTGTTTTCAATTTCTCCTTATATCTCATTTATTGTATCAAGAACAAATTTTTGAAAACATTTCAAAATACAATATATCTCTTGTAGGTGAATCGGCGCAATTCTATAGCGCCGGACTCATGATTAAAAGGTCTTGTGTTCAATCCTAACCTTGACCAGATATTTTTGTCAAAACAATTCATCTAGTAAAGGATAATTCTGCAACGTTACATGGCTGACGGACGGAAAATAACCATAATGCTCGGGAAGTTATTAATATGGCCTATTCAGAACACGGAGCAAATGACCAAGCAGTCAATGCTACTGACACCCAAAAAAAATATCTCCCTCTAACGTACTTTTGTTACACCCTGTACATAACAAATCAATTGAATGAGCTAATAGTTACTAGGAATTTATTTTATACTAGAAATATAATATGTCAGATCACCTTAAGACAATCAAATACTTTTATTCCTGCAACAATGAGGTGAAAGAGTGGTTAAACAATTGATAACTATTTTTGCTATAATTTGAGTGACAAATAGTTTAGAAAAGGCGTTTAGCGAAACATACTCTTTTATTGAGAAATATACTCAATCTATATACTTTGAATACTTTTATATTTTTCCAAGAATAAAATCAACTGCAATTTAGGCATTTTTCGATTTGTGAAGTTGCACTTACTGGAGTGTGATATGAGATGAAGAAAATAAATGTTGAGCAGCTGCAGAAGCAGTTGGTTAATATTTCCTAAAATAGTAACCAAGAATTTGTATTTTTCTTCCAATTTCAAGTATTTCTATATAAAATCTGTAGAAAGATGAGATGTAATATGTCTCTCAGGATGAACGGAGTTCTTTTATGAGGATAGAAACAATATTCATACATGGAAAATAAATATTTCAAAATAAAATATTCATCTCTCCCAATTTCTAATTGTATTTGGCCATGGAACCCTAATTGAGCCTAAATTTTTTAACAGAACCCTAACTAGTCATTTTGATAACTAAAGTCCCCTATTAGTTTGAATATTTTCATGTTACGACTCAAAAAAAAAGGAAACATTATGAACGAAAATTGATCATTATAATGTAACAACTATTTGATGTAGAGAATGATATTTTTCAAGATATTTTCTTATAATAGTACTAATGTCCGACAGTTAGATGCCTGGATCAGAAACTGTGTCCAGTCTGTTTCTGTATTTATCTTTTGTGTAAGCTAAGCTGTAAATTCAGACTTGCATCGGTAAGCCATCACAAATGGAAGCAGAACTGAAATAGCTTTTTCAACAATTGCAGGGTATTTAGATCTGACAGAGCGTGCGGAACCCCTGTTAACTTTCATAGGAACCCCAAGGTTCTGCGAACCACCATCTAGGAATCTAGGACCTACACAATAGGTTCTGGTAAATGCCTGCCGGAAAACAACTACTTCTTCGGTTGATACCACGCTGTGTATTGAATTATATCCAACAGACATTTACGGAAGATACCTCACAGAGATTAGTCTTGCAGATGTTTCTCTTCATCCAGCAGCAGAACCATGCTGAAACCAGTCGAGTAGATCACCTACATACTGGTTTTGAGGTATTACCTCTCATCAGTGCAGAAAAGATCCGACCCAAACAGCAAAGTGCCTAGGACTCGATTAATTTCAAGGCTTCGTCTAAAAGAAAGATTGTTAACTAGTAACAGCTCCATCTCGTGAACAAAACCCTAAGCGGGGTTTGGCTGTTTGGTTCGGATCTTTCCTGTACAGATGAGAGGTAATAACTCAAAATCGGTTTGTAGGTGATCTTGATTGATTTCAGCATGGTCTTGTTGCTGGATGAACGGAAACATCTGCGAGACTAACCGCTGTGAGGAATCTGCCATTGATTTCTGTAGGATACAACTCAATATCCAGCGTGGTTTTAGCCGGAGAAGGTTTTCCGGCAGGCATTTACCAGAATCTAAGGTGTAGGTAGTTTGGAGAGAGCACGGTTTAATATTTATATCATCAATGAGAACTTACTCCAAAACTTTTACTACTATTTTCTTGACTCGTTATTTCACTCTTCTATTTATAGTTGAACTTTAAGCTTGTATCGTCTATGTATTTCTTTCTTCTGTGATATTTTACAAACCCTTTTTTAACAAGAATCCTGGGCCAACTGAAATTATCACGGAATAGTGTCCCAAATCAACTTTGCCACAACTAAAATACACAGCCCTCTTTGAGATTACTGAAAGATTCATGATTAATAAAAAAAATTGCTGTTTTAGTGAACGGTTCTTTCATAAAATTAGGTAGATATTTTCAAACAGTACAATAGTGTAATCTTACTGCCATCTCTTAACTTTTTCCGACAATTTGGTACGAGTTGCCAGGGGTCATTGAAAACTATTTACCTGAATTCACTTTATATTCTAACACTGCTCACATATCCCCGAGTTGAAAATAAAAAAATAATAGTTAATACAAATGTACACAGGGTGTCCTGTTTACTGGCTCTGCTTGGTACAACTGAAGTCCTTGGCGATTTTTCTTTATCATTTTGGCGGAAGTTTGTTGTACATCCCATCCAGAAGGGAGCTGATAGAGTCTGTTCTTTGTTTTCAACCCGCATATGGAGATCATTAAATTTCCAGAAACCTTTTCCTTTGAAGAAATATGTTTTTCCTGAAAAAAATTAATTATATCAGAACATATTGTGTGGGAAGTAAAACTTCTGACTTGGAATGAGCTTTTAGTGAAAACCACTTTTTGGTACTACCTACACCGTAGGTTCTGGTAAATGGCTGCCGGAAAACAACTACTTGCCCGGCTAATACCACGATGGATATTGATATCCGACAGGTTAATATTTCTGTCCTGGGTCTGCGACTAAAAACACCTGAACCAGAACCGTATAAGGTCATATGAATAAACTCACCATCCTTCCATTGAAATACTGCATCAATATCTGTGCCAACACCTCCCCATCTTGATATATGCCTGGGATAGTCCAGCTCAATATATTGCAGTGCTTCATCAAATCTGAAAAAATTAAAAATCAGTCAATCGACCGCTCTGCGAATTGGTGGTTCGAGCCGCAATGCCGGACGCTTGATTTTCACTTCCTATCGTCCAACCTGTGTTCGGACTCACTCGTTAAATGGTGAGACCTCATCAGTCCTTAGCTCGCACAAGTTTCAACTTTTGAGAGTTGTCGTTCGTAGGGGGGTGACAGTTGGTTATCGGAAAAACAGATTTAAACAGCTTAACAGATATTACGGGGAGTTCAGTCTCAGCGATAACGTTCGACCACGGAGAAAGTACGTGGTTGCCATGTGCTATCGCCACAGAAAAGTAAACAATCTATCGTGGGGCTTCTTTTTTGTGTAGTGAATGTTCGTTATGTCTTGAAGTGAACGTATTGTCATATTTCACGTCACATAAAAAACCCACAAAGCATACCACATCCAATGGATGTCCGTTTCACGTCCGGCTCAAGTCCAAACGTCCATGGATGTTGCGAAGACATCCACTGTACGTTGAGATATGGACGTATAATGGATATTCCAGTTTTGTACACCCGTTGTACGTATAGTATTTCCAATACCAATTGGAACAGCACAGAGAAGGAATTCCCGCCTCGACATAGGCGTCGGCAGTTTATTTTTCAATAATAGTTTTTCAGTTACTTATTCTTACAATTATAGCAATTGATCACCCCATGAAAAAGTTATTTCAACTGAATTTTTCCACTAAGGGTAATTATGAAAAACTTCGAAATTTAAGGTAGTTGATTTCCGAGTCGAAAACTGTAAAATACAATGAAAAACCAAATAATCATTCACAATACTTAACCATAAACGAAAAATAAAGTGAACAAAAAAGAAAAACTAATTCTAATTACCTACCTCAAGTACACGTTAGCAATTTTAATAATGTTATGAAGGTTAGTGAAGAATAAATCACCATGGGCACAAATGCTATTTGAATTTGTGCACATAACATTTATTGGGGAATAATGTTGAGCATAATGTTAGTTCTTGCTCTGAAAGGTCTAAAAATGGATTGAGATCGTGAAGCTGGGCGTGGTATATTGAAGTTAATTTGTTCGAGAATTTTAGGACTTGAATAAAAATATGAGCGACGCACATTTTCTGCGATGCTCTAAATTAAAAAGTTCCAAACGTTCATATATGACATCATTACTGATACCTCTCTCAGGGTAGGAACCATCTACTCTGAAAATTAAAAATTTACAAAACTTTCTTTGGCTATGTTATGAATCTCCTAGAATGGACTCCAGACGATACTTGCATATTCTATCTTCGAACGTACGTAGATAAAATACAACAGTTTCATGGCTTTAATATTATGAAAATTTCTGCAATTTCTAACAATGAAACCATAAGCTCTGAGAGATTCTGAAACTTTCAAATTTTTCGTGAAATGTATAAACCCCTTTTTTTTTCGACTATAACTCACTACTTTACATTTCTCCACATTGAGTTTCAATTTATTATTGCTAAACCAAGCAACAAGAAATTCTAATTGAGATTGAAGATTTACACAATCACCTACTTCCTTAATTATAGAAAATAATTTCGTCATCTACGAAGCATAACCGCTCACAAGCTAATCTTTCACATAAGTCATTAATAAACAATAAAAACAAAAGAGGCAAATTTAAAAAAAATTGATGTTTTTATATTGACAAAAAAATGAGTGAAAAAACTAGGGTGGCAAGATTGCCTTGAGTCGACTCCTGTCGACTGTTGTCATGAGGATATTGGCCAAATGCGCTAGAGAGGGAAGCAACGGCCATTCAAAGGGAGAAACAGAGAGAACATACTTTACGTCACATAAAAACCCACACGACATCCAATGAATGTCCGTTTCACGTCCGGCTCAAGTCCAAACGTCCATGGATGTACAAAAATTCTTAGGTATATTATTTTGAATGAAACAATAATATTCAGAAAACAAATATTTGAGGATATTTTCCAACTTTCATGAAGATCATTTTATTCATTTACAAAATAGGAAATTAAAAATCGAATAAGACTGTATTCACATACCTCCAGTACCTGTCTCCGCTATAGAAATATGTTTTTCCATTGTGTCCCCATATCATTGCACCATCTATATGTTTAATCTCCTTGGAAATTCCAAGGTGAGAAAGAGGCTTGGGATAACCATTGTCTACTCTATTGGTAGTGAACACATAATACAAGTCTCCAATGAAGAATACGATTCGACCGTCATTTCGTTCATAGACAGCATCTACGTGGGTCAAATTGCGTGGTAGACCATGCCATAACCTGTGAATCGATGCTGGATAATCTGGTAGTAGACCATTTGCTCCAATTCTCCAGAAGTACTGAAAGAAAAAGATATTTTGTCAATGTGCAGAATATAACTAGAACAATAATTCATCTTCAACACTGATATTGAATTTCAAACACGTTAAAATGTTATTACATTCAAATTTGAGAGTGTCATTTTTAGAGTTTTGCATGAAGGTTATCCTCATAGAGGAATTATATAGCTTGTTTTAGGAATTGTTAACCTTCCTGAAAAATACTAATATAAATGGTTTCTTGTACAAGGATAGCGGAAATCCCCGCAGCTTGGGTTTAACGAGAAATATTTTGAAGTATAATGATTATTTACTTCGTTGAAGTAATGCAGTATTCAGAACAGAATTAAGAGACTACTCTTACACTTAACCCTGGAATAGCACTAGGCGTAACAACTTCTTCACTTTGCTGTGTGACCCAATTACACAATAATTTTTTTGGTATTGCAGAAACTGATTGAGATCCTAGTCAATCAGCATGTTAGTAAATTTTCCTTTCACAGTTGATGATCTTAAACATGTCTTAACCTCTGACGGAAGCACCAAACTCTCACGATGGTTCGAAATGGATGAACACTTCAATCTAGCAGACCACTATTATAATCTTCATGCAGTCATTGTTCACTGTGGTTCTGGTGTTGAATTTGGTCATTATTACGCCTTGGTCAAAGACTAAATGGACTAGTTTAAGTTTGACGACAGTCGTGTCACTAAGTATCCTGGCTATGCCTTGAATTTAGTGAAGCCTCTGGAGACACCTTACATTTTGTTTTATGAAAGAGAGGACATTGGCAGATCATGATCTCTAGATGATGTGGTGCTACAGATTTTTCTGGGTTTTCCTGCAGCTGAAAAAGCAAATGCGCCAATGGAATCAATAAAGTCGCCCCTGAACGCCAATTAATTTTTGTTGTTGTTTCATAATTTCATGATTTGTATTACTTTNGTCCTCCGCGACCTATGTGAGTGGTTTGCTCCACTCATTCAATCAACCGCTGTGTAAACCGGTGATTAGAACCCAGACACCGGATGATCAATTTTCACTTCCTATAGTCCAAGTCGTGCTAGGAATCATACGTTAAAAGGTAAGACCTCGTTAAGGTAGGGGGGCGACAGCTGGTTAACGAAAAAACATACATATTTGAACAATGTTTATCATAACGAGAAAATTGATTCGTTCTGGATTTCCTTTGAATCACTAATTTTGGAAATGACATCGCTATGGAGGTACTATACGTGGACTGTTAAAAAAATGAGATGAATTTTGAAATTACGCGGGCTACGTGCATAAGATTAACGATTTTTCATTTTTTATGTTGTAACACTCGTCTCGAACATATATTCACAGTTTCAGCTGTTTAGCAAGTTTAGTTTTTTGGTGAGAGGCATAAAAGTGAGAAGTGTTTTGCGTGTTCAGCGATTTTCTACTATCGAATAAAATGGATAACACTTTGTGTTAACAATGGAATTATGGAATTGAGTGCTAAAAAACCCTTTGAATGTTTAGTAATAGGGGAGCCCAAGCGGGGATTTCGGGATTTACTAAAGCGCGGCAGATTAATATACAGGGGATTGTACCCGGTTAAATACCTCCACCAAATATGAGCCTCATATATAAGGCCGCCTGTGAAGGATAAAGGATCAGATTAGTAAAAAAAATTTCAGTGGCATACGGTAATTGTACTATGAGTCAAAAAAATCACAAGTGGGACAAGCTTTTAACATAAGGTCGATAAGATGTGAATGACGACGCTCGCCCTGGACACTACAGCAACAACCGATGAAAACACTGTGTAATAGAGCGCAGGATGGGCTCAAATTTATAGAAAATTGGTGTAAGGTACACTCACTGTCGATCAATCCCAAGCAGACTGAGATGGTCCTTTTTACGAGGAAAAAAAGTTTATCGGGCTCAAAACCTCCCGAAATCTTCAAAAGCAAAGTAAACTTCTCTGAAGAGTTGAAATACCTTGGTACTACCCTCGACAGGAAACTAACATGGAACTCTCACCTATAGAGTAAAGCAAAAAGAGTATATGTGGCTTATGAGCGATGTCGGAGAACAGTGAGACGCACGCGGGGTCTTTCACTCCCCTGTGATCACCTAGATCTACACTGCAATAATAAGACCTATGTTAACATACGGTGCCATTGCATGAGGACTGAAAGTTCTACAAGCAACGGGCATCCAAAAATTATATCAAATACAGCAATTGGCTTGTTTAAACATCACAGGAGCCATGAGAACAACACCAATCGCGGCAATGGAATTAATTACTGGTCTGTCCCTTCTGGACCTGTACGTTAAGGAGGTTGCGTAAATGGCCATGTTACGATTGCGCGCGGCTGGTGTAAACCTCGAAGTTGGAATGGGTCAATTGAGGCTAAGCGTTTATTGAAAACAAACCCAGGTTTGTTTTTAATAAACCCTACAAAATACAAATAAAACAGATAGAGTCAGATGCTACAAATGCAATACGCATATATACAGACGGCTCAAAAACAAAAGAAGGCTCAGGATATGGAGTTTACTCCAGATTACTAAGCCTAAGGATTAAGTGGAGAATGGGAAAAATACCAGTGTGGTTGAAACAAAACTGGCTGGTATCTCAATCGTCACAAAAGAAATAACCAGGAAAGGAATTTCTGGCAAAAACATTACAATCTGCACTGATAGTAGACAAGCCCTATTACACAACATGTTACCTCAGAGCTAGTACTAGTGTGCCACCAAGATTCAGCCAAAGCATCGGTAGATAATAACATTATCCTGAGGTGTTTTAAAGGGTACGACAGGAGTGAAGGTAATCGCATCGCCGAATCTTTAGCTAAGGAAGCAGCTGGACTAAGAATTTTAGGACCCAGTGGCACATACGGCCTGATGACTTCGACAATTACGGAGCTAGCCAAACGTTACACCCATGCTCAATCCCTAAAGAGATGGGATAGAATCAAAGGATGCAATCTTGCCTGGATAACCCTGGGCGACCCTGAGAAGCTGGCAGCAAAGAAATATTTGGCGATGATTAGGAAAAACCTCCGCTCAACAGTAGGATTTCTGATTGGCCACTGTCAACTAAGGAAACACCTCGATTTTATGGGGCTAGTGGACACACCTCTATACAGGATGTGTGAACAGGAAGATGAGACTGTCAGGCATGTCCTATGCGAGTGCCCGGATTTATCGTCAATAAGAGAGTGTGTGTTCGGCGAGTCTGCCGATATAAAGGAGATGTCTCCAAGTGACCTGTCCACCTTCCTGGAAAGGACAGGATGGACGATGACCTAGGAGGATAACTCCTCGGGAGGATGTACAATGGGTCACATGTGGCCTAAGTGCTGTGGGCCTACACTCACCCTACCTACTCTACAGATACAGAACAACAGAACAAGAGGAAGTGGAGAAAATTGTTATGGAAAATCGTCGAATCACTTTCAAAAAAGTTTCTGAGGATGTCGGCATATTGGTTGGCTCATGTCATGCAATTATTTAGTAAATTTTGGGCAAGAAGCGTGTGGCAGCGAAGTTCGTTATAAAATTGCTGAATTTTAACCAAAAAAAAACCGTCGAACTGTTGAATGACGTTAACGGCAATCCGATTTGCTTAAAAAGTTTTTAAATGGTGACGAATCATGGGTATATGGTTATGACATCGAATCCAAAGTCCAATTGCCTCAACGGAAGAGCCCAGGAGTGCCAAAACAAAAAAAACTGAATCGCTGAGAGCTCAAGGACATACCAAAAAGTGCATATCAGAACTGCTTCGGAATTGGAAAAAAATGCTGGCACCATAGTATTATATGTTATATGAAGAGGACTACTTTGGAGGGGACCAAATAGAAAATGATGAATGAATAAATATTTTTTGAGCAAAATGGAAATTCACACCATTTTTTCGGACAGAGTAGTATAATTTCGGCCAAAGATGAAGGTAAGTTCTCTACATAATATTTTTTTCAGGTTCAATAATCAAGTAACATTTCATTTGTGCTGAAATGTCTTAGTGTCCATGTCCACTGGTACTTGCTTCTTCTTGTTTTTTGAAAATGTTCTATTACTAACGTTCCTGAAGAGAAGTTGAAATTGTTCTTCTATCCAAATTGGATTAGCATAATGTTTGAAATGAATAACGTTCAAACAGTAAACAATATAAATTTTGCGTTATCATTATGGCAAGTCAATCATCTTCTCTTGTACTTAGTTGAAATTAGGAAGTTTCTAGTTCGAGCACAAAACAGTTTCAAGTTGGATTAAAAAAACTACTTCCTGTTCGATAATAACGAGTAATTATAGAGATGAAAATGAATCTTGTTGATATTAGATACTTACTGCATCTTTGAAAATGAAAACTTCTTGCCTAATAACAGTTATAGCATCGTAACTTGTATCACAGGTATCTGGTGGTGGCTTTCTGGTTGGAAAATCTATAGGATAGTAATCTGGTCGTTTAGTTGGAGACACCACTGTAGTATATACTCTATCTGGATACTTTCGGTCTGGTATTCTCTCTGCAAAAATTAAACACGAATAAGTTGCAAAAAATGTCAGTTGAAACGAATATTTTGAATTGTATCTAGAGGATTGAGTGACAGTAGTCGTTATATTGTATGATAAGACTTGAGTGATTATGAAAGTTACAAACATGAAATAAACTTGACATCAGTAAAAGTAAATTGAATCTCACTGGCTGAACCACGAAATCATTTCCTAAGTTTTTATATGAAAGTTATTGTAACGATTTTTTTCCATCACGATTTTTTATATGATTTCCAGTTTTCATGTACAGTTACTTTTATAGAATTATTTTGAAAAGATGTGAATTTTATTTTCGAAAATTTGTTAATATATTGAAGAATTGATTTTCTAATTTCAGTTTTAATTTTTCTGCAGAACAATTTTCCTGCCTTTTCAATCAAAACATTTTGAAATGTCATTATATTATAATTCCAGTAATACAGGCAGTCGCCCTGAGAGACGATTCCATTCGGATTGAGTTCCATGCCAATTGACAATTGACAAAATCAACAAAATGATTTTCAAGAATTTTAAACAACTATTCCATTTTAATTCGATTCATTTCTCTGTTTTAACTATGTAGTGTTGTTCACACGTGTTTAAATTTTATGAGTGTTTTCATATCCTTCAAATTTTATACTGTATTGANAAATATATAATATCCCTCCGATTATCAACTAAACCAACCGCCACTGTTTTATGGTCCAACTCACTTCAAATGTAAACAATCTCTCCATAACCTCTCATTACCCGCTACCCCCCATAAGTTGTACAGAAAAGGATAGTAGGATACCCGATTCAAAATACATGTATTGTATTGGTATAGGCACGTATAGGCATGGCAACTCTGTTTTATTATTACTTTGAGGTTAAAACAATTTTACTCTGTTAACAGGAATTGTATTAAACCGGAATTATATTATTGTGTCGTGGTGTGTCGTGACGCGCCACAAGTATAGTATGTTTAGAATTATATTACTAAAGTGTAGTGTGTCGGGACGCGATCTGTCGTGACGGCGATCGGTCGATTCCCGATCGACGTCAGAACGATGGTGGGGTTCTGACGCGTCAGAACACACCACACTAGTTTTTAATTTAACGCGTTAACTAGCTAGAGAATAGTCATTTGCATTTATTTGTGCACAAGATGTCAGACGAACTTATTGAACTTGTTAGAAACTACGGGTTTGCATTTTTTAATATCATTTTCTATCATAATCTACTCAAATTGATTTTTTGAGATCCTGAAATATTGATGAAATCTTTCTTCATCACTAGTAAATGATATCCGTTTCGACTACCTATCATTTACTGGATGAACCCAATATTTTCTCTTTTTTCTTTAAGTAAACTTTACATTAGCAGGCATGCAAGGTTTTCCTGAATATCCCTATCTGAATCGGAGTAAAGCATTGTATATGCTCGTATGCATTTACTCCAAAGGACACCACTGTATTGGCTCGAAATAACGGCAGAGCGCGCTCCGACACGACAGAATAGTCTGCACACTCGCCGTCACGTCAGATAGCATCATAACACACCACAACATAATAATGTAATTCCGTTTTTATATAGGAATGTATTATGTGAAGAGCGATCCTGAAAAATGTACTTTAATCAAATGAATGAAAACACTTTTGTCTAATTTACACTAGTACTTAATTTTTACGACCGTTTTCAGGTTTTATCCCATTATCTATAAAAATAAAAATGTATGTTTGTTGGTTGGTAAGTGTTAAACATCGCTCAACCGATCGTGATGAAACTTGACATGTATAAGTAATTTTTCATAGAGAACTACCAAGTTTTCTATAACTCGCCAAAAGATGGCGATGTAGAAAATTTTTTTGAAAGCACTGTAAGTAGAGGGGATAAGAGACTTTTGGGGCGTATTCCCTAGGGGACGTAATTACGGTAGTGAGTGGGAAAGAGAGGTGTGCGACGTGATCGACGCATATAAGGATGGAATGAGCATCGAGTAGAGTCATTTGATAGATAAGGGCGCGGTGGAATTACAAAAATAACGGTAAAATATTAATAATGAACGAAAAATCGGATTGAAAAAAAACATGGCCACGGACGTTAAAGAAAAAAACATGTCTGCCAACGTAATAGAAAAAAACATGGCTGTCATATAATAACGGTATAATATTAATAATGAACGGAAAATCGGATTAAAGAAAAAAACATGGCCACGGACGTTAAAGAAAAAAACATGTCTGCCAACGTAATAGAAAAAAACATGGCTGTCATACAGGTTGTCTAATCGTTTAGGAAAAAACATGTACGGGGTGTCTCAAATACGTCAGCGTGGAAAATAATGATATAACGGTATAATATTAATAATGAACGAAAAATCGGATTAAAGAAAAAAAACATGGCCACGGGCGTTAAAGAAAAAAAACATGTCTGCCAACGTAATAGAAAAAAACATCGCTGCCATACAGGGCGTCTCATCGTTTAGGAAAAAACATGTACGGGGTGTCTCAAATACGTCAGCGTGGAAAATAACGGTATAATATTAATAATGAACGAAAAATCGGATTGAAGAAAAAAACATGGCAGACATGTTTTTTTTTAACGTCCGTAGCCATGTTTTTTTCTTTAATCCGATTTTCGTTCATTATTAATATTATACCGTTATTTTTGTAATTCCACCGCGCCTTTATCTATCAAATTAATCTACTCGATGCTCATTCCATCCTTCTATGCGTCGATCACGTCACACACCTCTCTTTTCCACTCACTACCGCAATTACGTCCCAAAAGTCTTTTATCCCCTCTACTACTGTACTATAACGCTGCGCACGCCTAAGTTAGTTGATTCTGATTGTGTCAAAACATTGGAACAGCAGTGATACAGCAACATAGTACTAGTCAACTACTATAAAAACTTTCTAATACATTTGAAATCTAAAAACGTGGTCATATAGAAAGTTTGTAGGTAAGCTGGATGGGGAGATAAAATCAAATGAACAGGGGTGCCAACTATGAAAATTTAGCACTGGGTTGTCAAACTTATGAATTCAAAAGTGGAGACCTACATGAATCGAGTTGTTTGTTTAGTTGTTCGGGCTCTTAATTGATTTATTAATTTCCTTGGTTTTCAATAAATCCATTTTCTTCCCTTTATTGCGTGTGTGTAAGATTTTGAGATTATCTTTACTTATCTTGTGTTTTGATTCTTGCAGATGTTCACACATTGTAGATTTTTTGTTCAAACAGACGTGTTCATGGAGCTCCATAATCATGAATTTCCACAAAATAAACAAGTCATCAATTACACAAAAAAACTATAAACTGCACATTCATATCTACATGTATTTATATGTTGGGATACGGTTCATGGAAACAAATGTTTTTATCATAAACATGGTCGATAAAAGAAATGAGTATTTTGATTAATTTTTTAGATTTATCATGATGGAAAGTATTTCGAAGGATGAACGAAAATCAATATCAATGTAAAATAATACCGGCCGAGGAAAAAAACTATATGAGTTGACAAAGTTCTCTAAAAACTATTCTCATTATGATTTAAAAGCCAGTGAGTGTCTTCTTACCTGGAGTATGCCTATGCGGTGTATCCTTTCTATTTGGTATGTATGGATACTGCCTGCCAGTTTGTACTGGGTAATGTTTTTTAGGATACATGGGTTTGTGAGGGTAGTGCTCATGAGGTCGTTCATGAGGATTGTGAGGAACATAAGGACGACCATGTGGATTTTGGGGATAATAAGGAATTTTTGGCCTGTGGATATATCCTCTTGTGCGAGGACGAGGAGTGGTAGTTGTTGTAGTGGTAGTGGTGGTGGTGGTGGTTGTCGTTGTTACAACGGGACGGTATATAGGATTTTTGGCCCATTTTCTTCGATTGTCTCGAGCACCTGTAAATAATTTGATACATAAGATATTTATGTCTAGATACTAGTAGTTGAATGAGATTCAGTGAAGATAAGTTTCATATACTTTGTTCAAATGTAATTTTTTTTATTGGGTGATTGATAAATAGTGAGAAAACGTGAAGTTTTTCGATCTGATTGAGCGATACAATCAATAGTATAAGAGATCAAAGTTATCAAAGAAAATATCAACAGGTCGTTCTAATGATGAAAAAATGAAATTATAAAACATGGAAATCCTGTTGTGGGTGACATTTTAGAATAATTTGAGTCTGTATATAGCTCAAATTTATGACTCACATCTGATGATTTTTGTCTTTAAAAAATAGTGATTATAATTGTAAATCATGCCCTGAAGAAAATAACGCTGGCCGCCACTGGTAGCCATAAACCAATTGTGACGTAGCTAAGAGCGCGCGAATGTTCCATGTTCGCCGCTGTTCTAGATGTAGCAAGAATAATGCCACCGGCTTCGATGGAATTCCGAGGAATGTTACAGGGCCTTATATTGCCAAAATATAAGCGTTATCGACTCGCCCATCGAGACAGTCAAGTGGAAGTTACAGTGCGGTACGTGAAGCGTTCTAGTAAGGCGATAGACATTCGAATATTAGTTGAAGTTTTATTTGAAGTGTTTGTTGTATTTAAATTGAAATAAAGTTAAGTTTGATTATTCAGTGTAGTCAATTATTGGTGAACCCACGGGTCCCATTGAATCCAACGTCAGTCGCTATTTTCACACAGACGTTGCTCTTAACGTGTTGAGAATTTTTATTTAGACCTTGGGTAACTCCATTTTTTTGATTATGTATTCTACTGTCATTCTTCCTCGTCGAAAAAATCTTCGCCTAGGATTTTTTTCTATGATCTAATTACAATTTAATGTAACAAAAGAACATTGCAGCCAATCCCAATTCGTGATCGGGATGAAAAATCCTAGGAAGTTATAAACATGAGGTTTGTGTACCAAAGTTACTCTTTTCCATTGAACCACTACCAAAAATATTTCCAACTGATATTCTGAAATAGTGGCACCCAAAGGAATTTATTGTACTCACCATACAGAAACTGTATTGCTTGCTTATCATCATCTGGTAGTTCGTAGTCGAAACCGTTGTCCATTTTCTTGTACCAAGAGTACATCAATGCACTTTCCACATTAGAATGCGACAATCCCAAAGAATGACCAATTTCATGAGCAGCCACATTGAATAAATTTGTTCCTGAAAGAAATAAAATTTCGAAAATTTCATTTCATTTATAAATAATATTTGAACTTGTGATATTTCGTAACACTAAATGTTAGGTAAGGCTTTGATACTGGCACACAAGTTGAACATTCTTCTCGTGACTCGTGAATTCGTTACTTTTATGGGAACGAAAGGTTTTGGCTTTCTACTTCTCCATCTGTATATACAAAAATGTGGGAATCTTTGTGGAGTTTATTTCGAAATAATCAAGTAGTGATTTTTTTTAGTCAAATTATTAGGTAACATTGTATGCGGCAATACCGAATATATTTGAAGAAATGTAACTTTTCTTGCTATTTCCAAAGATGCAAAGTTTCAAAATTATCATGTACACGGATTTTTTAATTAAAATTATATTTGTCATTTTTTTCAAGTATTTTTCTACGTTAGTTTTTATGAAATTGTATAAAGTTGAAGAAGTAAAAAGCCGAAACCTTTCCATTCAGAGAGAATATTTTGCATCATGTCTTGTTGCTCTGGAATCCAAATTGATTTTTCCTCGCCATAACATTATGAGGAAA